CAAGTCCAGTGTCATGGCAGGCAGGGCCCAGGCAGGCCACCTGGTTGACAGCACCCAGACCTGTGATACTCATTGCGACTTGGGAGATGGACTTGCCTATACCAGTGTGGTCATTTCTCAGATCACCAGATGGTTTTGCAAAATTGTAAATGAAACCTACCATATCAAATTCAAGGTCAGCAGCCAATTTGTGATTTCTTGCCTTGGCGATTCATTTGTAGGTATGAAGCTAGATGGGTCCTGAGGGTCTGGAGATGCTGTCTCCCCTTGAGGAGTCTTGGAGAGTAGAAGTTTCTCAGAATTCAGAGGTGCATTCAGAACCTCTAGAACTTCAAAGGAGGAAGACGGGGGAAATAATACATGTATATAATTTAAGGGAAGACTGTCAGGCAAATATCTTACTAGTACGTAGAAAAAAGGAAGCTCTGGAAGCCATTCCGGGTTCATGAGGTAATAGGATTATTGATCTCACTTCTTCCCATTTGTGATGGAGATTCAGAAATACCATGGATATGAGAGGTTTTCATTTTCATGAGACATGAAAGATGCCCCCCTTTTGGGTGTATTTGCTGTTATTAGATACAGGAGAAAATAACTTCATTTTTCCTGCATTCTTATGGGGATTCTAAATGTTGAAATGACTATATTGATGTCCATCTAATTCTGATGAATGTACCAAAGTCATAGGTCTCTGGCAGAAGATTCCAGAGTCCTGTTCTAGGCCCTACCATCTTACAGAATATTCCAGTCTTCTGAGGATTAGCAAGGTGAGCTTATCACCAGCACAGAGAATGGAAGGGTAGTGAATAGATTTGAGTGTCAGGATCTAAGCAGACACTGGAGACAGCATGATAAAATCCATTTGAAAGGAGAAGGATCCGTTGTAAAGGAAATGTTAAATGGGAAATATCACAGCACCAACTGGCAGAGGGGTTGTGGGGTTTGTGCATTGGAGTCTCACTGATTTTGTATGTGTGAGGTGGCTACCAGAAATGGTGCTGGATGATTGAGACTCCATCATCTGTGGTGACACCAGCAGAGTGATTCTTTCCCATGGCCCCTGTGTCCAACCAACAGTGCTTTAGATTATCATGCTCAGTCTTGGTTAGCATACTCTGAGAGTGAAGTTCATGTTCTGGAACAAGTTTATGTAGTGTCAGTTGATGACTGAAAATATTTGCATTTATATTCTATCTACATTGTAAACATCAAGAAATGGAGGGTCCCAGTGGGTTAATGGATTGGCTAAAATTGTGCAGCTGGTGTTAAGTGTAAATTTCAGGAGAAACGTGTGTTTGGAATAAGCTCCTGCACTAGGCTTTGAAAAATCAGACCAAAAATGAAAATGGAGTCACTCATGCTCAAGTTCCATGTCTTCAGGCTGAATCTAAACTGTTCATCTGATGTTCCTGAGAATCAGAGACAATAGCCAAATTTCCCTTATAGGCTACTTTCAGTTGGTATGATAATAAAGTTCCCTCTGTCTTAATCCTTACACAAGAAAAGTTACTGATGTTAACCAGTCATTTACTTTTGTTACTCTATCTCCTATCCCTGCCTTATAAGAAAATTAACTTTGAAGTGACCAGTCCCCTTTTTTGTTCTGTTTTCCTCAGCTTTGTTATGTTTCTAAAACCAACCCCCACTACTCAGCTCATTAGAACAGTAGCGCTGTTTTAAGGAATGAAATGCTGCCTGATTCTAGAATCAAAAATAAAGGCAATCAAAATCGTTAAATTGTGCTTTGTCCTCTGATAGTGGCAAGTGGTGGAGCTCTGCGCTTCGACCCTGGCATTCTGATTCTGAACCTAATGCCACCATCTTACTCTGGCACCTCTGTCTTTTCCTTTCCTTCTTGGAATATCCAGATGTCTGTTTCAAGTTTCCACTTTACTGCCCCAAAAGACAGGCTCATCTTGTGATGAACAGAAACCCCACCTCACAGACAAGCCAAGACTGAGAGTAAAATAGTTCACACTTCTCTTCCTCTTGATGATCTGCATCTTGTTTGTACTCAGATTCTCACCTCCAATGTCTCTTGATGTAAAGTCAACTGCAACCACGTGGCACTGCCTCCTCCAGCTCTCCTTTTGTGTTCTCCATCTCCTTTGCTTCATCTGTTCATTCTTGTTGTCACTGACTCATTTACAAATATGTGTGAATGCCTACTACCTCTGAAGCCTTGTCTAAGTTTTAGGATATTACTAGTAAGCAACACAAAAAATATCTGATCATACTTATGAAGGGGACAGAAACAAGAAAGAAAATCTATAAAATCAGATACTCATAAGCATTGTGAAGAAACTTAGAGCTGGTTACAAGATTCACTGGGATGTTAGGTGAAACATCTTTTCAGATACAATCAGGAAAGCTATCAGGCACAATGATGTTTAGAGAGAAACTAGAAATAAATAAGGAACTTGAGTCCTGTGGATATTTCAGGGGAGAGTATGCTTGGCAAGATAATTCCCAAATACCAAGTTTTATAGGTAGGGTAGGATTGGTATAATTGGTAAGGGGCAAGGGGACCTGAGTAATTGGAGAAGAGTGAGTGTTCATCATGCTGCCCAATTTTATTAGCCAGCATTCTATCATTATGACAAAATACCTAAGATAACCAGTTGTTAAAGAAAGAAAGGTTTATTTTTACTTACAGTTTTGGAGAATCTAGTCCATGATGAGTTGGTTCTGTTGTTTGGGGCCTGTGACAAGACAGCACATCACGGCAGGAGCGTGTGGTGGAGCAAAACTGCTCACCTCAAAACCAGGGAGCAAAAGAGAAGGAGGAAGAGATGGGAATCCCACAGTCCCCTTCAAGGACACACCCCTGATGACCTCATGATCCCGCACTAGGCCATCTCCCAAAAGCATCAATCAGGGGACCAAGTCTTAACACCTGGGCTTTAGGGTGCATCACCGATCCAAACTATAGCATTGATTTTTGATAAAGTGTTCTAATACATAAGTTTTATGGGTGTAGAACACTGTATTCCCAATTACTGGGTGGGAGACAGAATTGTAGAAGTTGGTTAGAAATTGGGATAAATAAAGTATACATTTTAATGTATATGACATGTATGAAATATAAATGTATATAAAAGTTTCTTACACATAGCACTATAGAAATTTTTGTTTCTATCTTTGTTATTGTCATGAGTGTGATTATCTCAGTTTTACCCTAAGGATCAATAGGTAAAGCAAAGATATTTGGAAGTGGCTCTTTGCAGTTCTGAATGCAATTTCTTTTGCTCTTCTGTTAAATTATAATTTTGGTTATACACTTGAGTGACAGGGAAAGGTTCTACTATAATAACTTAGTGAAAAAAATCACTTTTACGAGTGGCCCGAATACAGCCTGGCTTTCCCACCATGTCCTGTTGTACATATTCTGTTTCCACGGCTAGAATGTAAGAACAAATGAACACTTTATTCTTAAATTAAAACATAATGATCATGATGTTATTGGTCTGGTGTTGTTGTAACAGTGGTTGTAATAGTTAACATGGGTTGAGAGTTAAACAAATGCACATCCCTGTTCTAAGGCCTTTGCAGAAATTTGTTCTCTTAAAACTTGTTAAGGTTTACATATGAGTTGTTTCCCAAAAGCTCATGTGTGAGACAATGCAAGAATGTTCAGAGATGAAGTAATTGGATTATGAGAGGCAGAACATAATGCATTAACAGGGTGGTGATTTAGGCAGGTAGCTAGAGGAAGTATGTCACTGGGGGTGTGCCTTTGAGGTTTATGTTTTGTTCCTGGTGAGCAGAGCTTTCTCTCTGCTTCCTGGTGGCCATGTTCTGACCTGCATGTCTTTTCCATGCCCTTTTGCTATGATGGTCTGCCTTATCTGGGGTTTAGAGCCGTGAAGTATATGAACCATTGACTGAACCTCTGGAACTGTGAGCCAAAACAAACTTGTTGTCCTCTACATGGTTCTTGTCACATCTTTTGATCACAGCAAAGACACTAAAACGAGCCTCCTAACCCTAGGAGGGAAGCTCTATGCTGATCATTTTCTGTCTAAGGAAATGGAAAATTCAGAATGTTTATGTGACTTCCCAAAGGACAGGACAGAGGAAGAGGAGCCAGGTTTTACATTAGTGTTTGGCTCTACGACTTGAAAATTTGGATAATTCAAAATTTATTTCTGCTTCGATTTGCATTCTTCCTGTGGTGCATTGGCTGTGTTGGCTGAAGGGTGTTTAAGTTAGAGAGTAAACTGGGAAATCCATTTTATTTTCTTTAGCCTACCATCAAAATTAATTTTCTAGTCTCTGTAAACATGTTGCTTTGGCCAAGGGATCCTAGAGACAGCAGGAGGAGTTTGGCAGGTGCCAAAGGTGGAAAGCAGTTGCAAGTTTTATTAGTCATGGTAGAAAAGGAAGGACCCATCTAACATGGACCAACCTGCTCACCATATACATCATGTTGGTTGTCTTTAGATACCGTATTCTTTGCTTGACTTTTGGGGGAAAAAAAAAAGTGTGTCTTTTCAAGAAATTGCCACCAGACAGCAGTTTATTTAAGTTAATATTTCTTCTTTATTTTCTCCTTCCTCTGTCATTTTGGATGTTTTTGATAGAAAATACACTGAGTTAATATTTTAATGTTGTCAGGTCTTAACTCCAATTTTGAAGAAGCCAGGCATGGAGGTGTGTGTGCCTGTAATTTCAGCTGCTCAGAGGCTGAGGCAGGAGGATTGTGAGTTTTAGGCCGGCCTGGGAAACCTAGCAAGACTCTTGTCTTAAAAAAAAGACTGGGGATGTAGATTAGTGGTATAACACAAACAAACAAATGGGCTTTGCAGTTGATCATTTTCTAGGAGTTAAAGTAGCCCAAAGTAGTACCTCTGGATTTTAATACATATTTCAGACATGTCTGTGGCTGTGACTTACGGAGTGTTACTTTGACCAGTTTGGTTGTCCCTAGTGCTACCTAGCTTGAGACTTGAAATAAACTATAACTAAAAGGGGGAAAAAACAACTAAAATATTTATTGCAGAAAATAAAAAAGTTAACCAAAGTATTTTATTGATACATTCTTAGACAATACCACGGAATTGAAAGAGAATGGAAAGAGGGAATTTTCCAGCAAGGGTTTTTTTTTTTTTTCTTTTTTCTTTTTTTCCACTAAATTGGCACATAAGCAGCAAGATTAACGAAAGTACTTATTACAAACAGTAGAAAACATACATGCTTTTTTTTTTTAAGTCCTTATCACACTGGTCAGTCATAATGGGGCATGAACAAAACCTCAAGACATGAAAAATCCATATTTCTTTCCTTCAAATCGCATAATTATTAAAATTATTGCAAAATATCCATATACCTTAATTAAAATAACAAAAGAGAACAGAAATACAAATATCAAACATAAATTATTAACATGTACTGTAAAATACATTACTGGCATGCATTCCAAGGACCAAGACCTTATGCCATTGAGCCAATGCTTTCTTTTCATGTCACCTATCATGTACCACAGATAGGTGGGATTTACTTTCTCAGCACAGTTTTTGGTCTTTAAATATCTTTTTTGTCTTAAAAAAAATAACGTGATTTGCAGTGGTACTATAATCATAACCATATAGTCACGTACAGATGTATGTGTGTCTTTGTCTGCCGAGATCTTTTTAAAATTTTAATCATTTTAAAAAATTTCCCAAACATTCCACCATCTGAGAGGGCAGGGCTCTATGAAACAGGGCATTCGGAAACAAACAATGAACCGAGGTACGACATCAGATGGCAAAGTGCAAAAGTTCTCACAAACTGTACAGAAAAATTTCAAAACCTTGCAGCCCGGAAGTGCATACGTAGAAAGACCAGTCAGCCCCCAAGTCGGTCCTGTGGCTCTCCATTGCATCCTAAAGAGCCAGGGTGGGACTTGAGTCTCAACTCTCCCTCTGGTAGGGAAGGTCCACAATTCAAGCCGAGTTGGCAGTGCTAATGCCAGTGACTTATTAAGCCAAGATAAAGTAAGGGTATTTCAGAAAGCAGCTGTTTAGGACACTGGATCCTCTAACATTGGTCTCCTGGCCGGGGAAGCTCCTCTGGTGATGGAAGCGGGCAGGACCAAAAGAGTCCTATGCCAGGTTGGGTGACAGAATAACTGAGGGCCTCTTCTTCCTCCATGGTTCCAAAGGATGGAACAAGTTAGATAACCAGGTTATTATAACTGACATACTTCTTTTTTGCAGCAGGGCCTGGGGAAAATAAATGGAAAGAGTAAGTGTTGGCAGTGACCTTATTTGCAAAAGAGGAGGTGGAGCTAGAACTGTGGGCAATTGTGGTGCAAAGTTAAGGCTGTGGGGAACACACACACAACTTTGGATTTTTCTATTTCTTTGGCTTTGTCCACTAAAATAAGCAGTTCTCAGAGATACTCAAACTATTGAGGTTCTTTTTTCGAGATGTCTTCAGCCACCTCCTTTTTAATCTGTAAGTGGTGTAGTATATATATCAGTGATTGTAACACTTCCTAATTGCCTAAGCTTGCAGGATCCACCCATGTTACACCCAATTTCATCAGGTGATCTTCTCTCAGACATTTGCATGGTAGAGGTCTGTCTTGGGTCATTAGAATTAATTTGTCTAGAGATGAGGTCACCCAGAGTGCTTTCTTATTCACAGACTCAAATGACTATAAGAGTGACTTATAATGTTGTCATTGCTAGGTTGTAAATGGTAATTTGCACAAGTATTTCCATTAAGGTTTGATGTTCTCGTTAATGTGCCAGGTAGCTCAATATTCACAGTCCCCATTTGTTTTCTTGACATTTAGAACGAATTATTTTCCCACTTGGCACAGTGACTCTAGGATTCTCTTTCACTCACTGATCCTAGTTCTCAGTACCACTGAATGGAATGTCCATGGCAGGATGTGTTCTTGGTTCACTAAATCTCAGTAGTTCTGCATCACCTTCTGCTAAACCCAAAGTAACTGTCGTGTATCATTTACTTGTAGCTTATTTCGCTTACTCTAGTAGGTTCTAAATAACATTCAGTAGAGAAGGAGCAAGACTTGTTTCCAGAACTCATAGATAGCTCAGGAATTCATATGTGAATTTAGAGGAACTTGGAAGCAGCATTAATATACTGGGACACAGTTTGTATCTGATCTTTGAGTAGTGCATCTGGCATGGTATAGATGTGTATATGCATATATTTGTTTTCCAAAATACTGTGTATGGGGTGTGTGTATGTGTGTATACTGATTTTATTTTATTTTCTGGGCTCAAAATTAGTTTAAAATTAGAATTGTCTCCCTCTGAGGAATTCCAATTGGAGAACTCGTTTCTCTGTTATATCACATTGATTCACTAAAAGGAGAAATAGAATTTTATGAAATTAAGGGTCTCCTGAAAAATATGGTCATGAGACTCCATTTATGATGTGTCTTCACTTGATGGACATTTGGGCTCAGCCTCAGTAAGACCCAGGTTCTTCTGAGAAGGTCCCTGAGGTCCCAGCAGCATTCATGGTCTTCAGCAATGTGCTTGTTTGGGGTATGAGGAGGAAAATTTAAGGAATTTTTATTTTCAGTGTCACAACTAAAATATCTCATCTGAACATGAGCACCTTGTCAAACACCACCTGCTGATTATCCTCAGACCAAAGAAAAAATGAGCAGAAACCTCAGTAACTTGTACTCACCCAAGTATATTAGACCACCTCTATTGTGTAATAAATGAAGATTGTTTGCTGGATAAACATAACTGTCTAGTGAAACAAAAAACAAATATAATTGCAGGTGCTCAAATAGGTTATTAAACCCTAAGGATGAGTTTTCACACAAAAAAAAAAACAAAAAAAAAGTTTAGAAAGCATTGTCCCTGCACTGTAAAGCAGAGTACTGCTTTAGATTAAGATCAATATGAAGTTATCTTTCAAAAAAAAAACTTAGAAATGATGTTTTGCAGAACAGAATAGCACTCCCAGATGCTTTGCCTGGGTCATAGTCTCTGATAGCATAGAGAGAAGGTCCTGTTTTACCTGGGAAGATTCCAAAGGTCCGAGAGACTAGTGTTCCAGAAATGGGTTGTTCGATGCTTGAGTCTGACTTCCCTCTTCACCCCATGACAGGAATCTCAAGCTGCCACTATACTCAGCTGCCCTAGGTTCCCATCCAATTCCTTCCCCTACCTAAGGTGTGGTTAGCATAGTGCCAAGATGCTGAACTTCTCAGAGACTTTATAAAATTGGGAAAAGAATTTTTACCCTATTGATAGGTAGAATGTTCAAATTATTCCTATTTCTCATGGGGGAGTATAATGTACAAATGGGTTTTGAGTTACAAATTTCTTTGCCAAATGATAAGCCTAAATGTTTGCTTTCTTTGCAAAATTGCCTAGGAATATTGCAGCAAAATTATAATGAAGTTCATGTAGCTCCTAGAATGGCAATTATGTGCTTTTCACAGCAATGTCCAGTGTATTATAATATTTATTTTTAAACCATCTGGTCTTATGAGTAAATAAACGAAGTGCCTATGGTGTCTAATAATTTCATTTATTTGGATAGTTAAGTAGTTTATGGTCCAGGAAAGAAAATGGCTTAGCTCAAATAGTTGTCCAGTGAAATACTTGTTAGGAAAATAGTTTTATTTTAACATAGAGGTTTTTTTTTTGTTTTGTTGTTTTTGTTCTTTTATTTGGCTTATAAAGTTAAGTTATAGATTTTAAGAAAGAACAGGAGTAGATGGCATTGTCCTTACTGAAGTTTTTAAACTTGTCTATACCTATAGTTCACAAAGGAAGATATCTTAGAGAGCCAAAGCTTACCCATGAGCTAGGGCCAATGACACTGGTTTTTGTAAAGTATTACTGATGCGCATCTGCTACCTGTGGAAGGTCAGGCAGTCCAACTCATTCTCAGTGTCACAAGCAACCCTCAGTTTGACATGAAGTTCAGCAAGTTACTTGTTTCTTCAATTGTCTCACAAAAATTTCTCAAAGTGTTTTGTGGAACATTGGTAAACCACATTAAAAGAAGTATAGGGAAAAAAATAACAATGGAAAAGAGAAAGAGTCTCACAAATATTATGCTGGAAAAGCACTGAATAAATAAAATGAATGGAACTCTTTCCTCTACCCCACTTTTATTTCTTTATTTTGTAAATAATAAGGAATATGTTAGCTAAAGAAATAAGATAAAATTCCAAACACTGAGCTTTATTTATTATTTCAAAAACTATGTAGAAATATGTTTAAAACTATGTAGAAATATGTTTAAAGCAATCAAACTTCCATTAAAGTTAAAAAAAAATTCACATCCCTGAATATAACACATGCAAATTCATGGGCATTTTTGCTTCAAATGTGCCACCCCCCTCATAGGAAATGCCTATAGTTAAGGCCCTCCCTCCCCTGCCAACCCTTCCCTTGTCTGCTCCCTCCCCATTGCTACTGCCACTGCATCTATTGTTCCCCTTGAACTATAGGCAGTATTGTTTAATGAGTTTTGACCAGTTTAAAACATTGTTATTCTATGCATATTCATTTATAACTATTTTTCATATAGTAAGATTTATTTATATTGATTTGGTTAACCATTACTACATAGTATTTCCATATCATTGTGGCAAAAATCTTTGTAACTTTTTTTTTTATTTGATGGACTTTGCTGTCCAGTTTTCTTTCATAACAAACAATACTGAAGTAGAAGATAGCTAGAAAATATCATTAACAATGTTAAGTGACAAGTATGAGCCAGGAGAAAAAATAAATGCCATATATTTAGATGATGAAGAATGGCTATCCAAATTTGCACAAATGAATAAGTAATAGAATCTAATTTTTAAAAAATTTGTTAAATTTATAACTCGGTGTCTGGAGGATGAGGAAGTACAACTAATTGAAAAATGCTAAAAAAAAAAAAAAAAAAAAAAAAAGAAAAATGCTCAATATCATCATTTAGAGAAATGAAAATTAAAACAATATGGTAGCATTTTGTACCCATGACATCAATGAATTGATTGTATTTTGAGAAGGTGAAAAAGAGGGAACTCGTAGGTCACAGTGGTAGGCATGAAGACTGATAATATAATCATACAAGAGTGCCATGCGAAAAGATTTAGAAAATCTGAAGATAAGCATCCTATTGGCTTGGCAATTTCACTTCCACATTATACTTGAGACATTTCTTCCATAGGTGCACAGGGACATGTGTATGACTTACCAGAGCTTTCAATATAATGACATGCTATGCTCAGAATGTAAAAATGCAAAGCAGGCCAAGTGAAAGAATAATATGAATGAAGTAGAAAATGTGCACACTGTGTCAGAAGTTGTGATCACGTTGGGAGGCTCTCTCAGCAGGCAAATGCTCCATTTTCAGAAGAGGAGCCAGACTTTTGTATTTTTATATAAAAGTTCGTTTTTTACTTGGCCATCCAAATAAAAAGGTATTTGGGGGGCACTATTAAGTGTTGGGCTCAGTATTAGGGTTTTTAGTAGATGGTTTTCAATCAAATTAAAACATACAGCAAGGAAGATACAAAAGCAAAAAATTACATGGAGTCTATAGGCTGTGAGTTTGCAGCTGGTATTCTCTGCACTGTTTCCCAAATATATTTGAATCTGTGGCACCCTGCCCCCCGCACACACACCTGTTTTAGTGAATCCCTTGGCAGTGCACAGAAACATAATTTTGGAAATGCATGGTGATATTTCTTAGATCTTAATCCTACCTGTTACTTTGGTATGTTGTTAATTTGTTGTAAAACTCAACAAATGTGGAAATACTGGCTTGTTGCCTGCTGAAACTTGTTTGGGAGTGACTCTTGAAGCCATCCTAAGCTCTCTGCCATTTTAACTGTCCTCTTTAACTGCTGCTTCCTTACCAAACCATTTGTCCAACTTGCTGTTTACCTGTGAATATTTCAACTGAGAGGGATTCTTAATATTATCCTTTGCAGTTAGTAAAAGAAATACTTTCTGTGTACTACTTCTGTGTTTCCTGCCTATTCATTTCATTTGTAAACTGCCCCTAGCCTGTGGCTTAATGGCAAAGGAGACATTTACCTTCAACTGTTAATTCTCATTCCAGATTTAAAAAAAAAAAAGCTAGTCAACTTGCAGTATTTTGTGAAGAAAAAGCAATTTGTTTTCTAATCATTGCCCCTACATTCTTTTTTTTTTAAATAATTACTTTGAGTAGCACATTACTCAGTCAAAAAAGTAAAAAAGATGCAAAGCTGAACAAG